CCGATCGAGTGGAGGACTGTTTTGTCTTGCTTTTTGTGTTTCTGTTGTGTTTGTCTGTCTGTCTATCGTGTAACTTGGACTGAGACGATGGGACTGACCGTGACTACCCCCCTGTCCCTCATGACGAGCCATTTTAAAGAAGTTAGGGAGCGCGCTCATAACCTGAGTTTAGAAGTTAAAGAGACTAAACTTGTCACCCTCTGTAGCTCAGAGTGGCCTGTCTTTGGGATAGGATGGCCACCCAAGGGGACCTTTGATCTAGGTATTGTTACTTGGGAAAATCTAATATGTGACCCCCCTCCATGGGTCAAGCCCTTTTTGCCTCCACAGAAACAGCAGCCAGAGGTAATCCTGGCAGCCTGTAAAAAGACTCCCAGAAAACGCGACAGAAAAAGGCAAACTGACAACAAGCCAACCACGCCGCTTTACCCAGTCCTCCCAGGAGGAACCAAGGAAGATCTCCTCCCCCCCCCTTACCACTCTCTCTCCACTCCCCCACAACAGCAGGCAGGGGGAGAAGTTCCGGCCCCAGCCGGAGCCAGGGAAAGAGGGCCGGCTCCGGGCACCAGCAGTGGGGATGGCCCCGCCCAGAACACTCGCCACCGGTATGCCGCCTCACCGGCAGGACCAGCAGACTCCACTGTTCTCCCACTAAGGGTGACAGGGCCCCCTGATGAACATGGTAACCAGCATCATCACTACTGGCCCTTCACCACTAGTGACCTTTATAACTGGCATACTCAACACGCCAAATTCTCAGACAACCCTAGAGATTTGATTAACCTGTTAGAAACTGTTTTGTTCACTCATCAGCCCACCTGGGATGATTGTCAGCAGCTCCTCCAGATCCTGTTTATCACAGAGGAGCGAGAGAGAATCCAAAATGAAGCCAGGAAATTGGTTCCTGGTGACAATGGTCAACCCACTACCAATGCTGATACTATCAACACTTCTTTTCCTTTGTCCTGGCCCAATTGGGACTTCAACACAGCAGAAGTAAGGAGAGGTAAGGAGAGGTAAGGAGAGGCTCCAGGTCTATCGCCAGGCTCTGTTGGGAGGTCTCAAAGCGGCTGCTCGAAAGCCCACCAATTTGGCCAAGGTAGGGGATGTACAACAGGGGCCAAACAAAAGCCCTGAAGCCTTCCTAGAAAGAATTCAGGAAGCCTTCCATAGGTATACTCCTATGGACCCAGAAGCAAATGAAACAAAGGCAGCTGTAATAATACATTTTGTCAACCAGGTGATGTCAGATATTAGGAGAAAGTTACAGAAAGTAGACAGATTAGGAGAAAAGAGCATTCAGGACTTAGTGGTAGTGGCAGAGGGAGTGTATAACAACAGGGAAACTGCAGAGGAAAGACAAGTGAAAGCTGACAACCTCCAGACCCGAAACCTGGCTCGGATCCTTCTGGCAACTACTGAGGGAGAGCCAAGGGAACATGAACATCGCCTGAGAAGGATTGCGGCAGAAGGACAAGGTAAGGGGGAACGCAGGGAGCGCCCCCAGTTGGGGAAAAATCAATGTGCTTACTGCAAAGAGGAAGGCCACTGGGCTAAGGAGTGCCCCAAAAAGCAACAGGGAAGCCATCCAAAGGCCTCCATCCTGGCCATGGACGAACTAAGTGATTAGGGGGGACGGGGCTCGGTGCCCCTCCCCGAGCCCAGGGTAACCCTTAAAGTGGAGGGGGAGCCCATTGAGTTCCTGGTAGACACCAGTGCTCAACATTCAGTCCTGCTCAAACCACATGGCC